ATGACAATTGCGCGGTCATGCAACACTGTACCCAAATGAATTTTTTACCATTTTTTTGAGACAGATAAAGCTTTATTTTGGTGGTATTTATTCACCGCTGGGATTTTTATTTTTTTTGCTATGTAAATGAAAATGTCCAAAAATTTTGAAAAAAAGTGTTTTTTTTATAAAATTTTACAAATAAATAATATTTCATCATAAATCATGGCCAAAATGTATTCCGTTATCTTTTTAGTAAAAAAAAAAAAAAAAATCCAAATTAGTTTATAACCAAAAATTATAATTTTTAAACATTTGTTTTACATTTTTTTTTTTTTATTTTATTTTTTATTTTATTTTATTTTTTACATACTGTCAACCTAGCACTACAGTGTCACCATGGTGACACTGTACTACTTGTGGGGGGGTGATGAAGATTTTTTTTTTTACACTGATTGCTTTTACACCCATATACGATGTAAAAGCAATCATTTCTCTTTCTCTCTGGCTGCATTCTTGCCTCATTGAGAAGTACTGAGTGAGCTGTGATTGGTCACAGCTTGTCACATGGTACACAGGCTGTTGTGAATAGCCATAACATGTGACCTCTGTGATTGGTCATGTGAATAGCCTCTGTGATCATTCACAGATTTCACACGTAGTCAGCAATGATGTCACAAGTGACATCTTGCTTACTACTTTGCATGTGATCACTGATTGGCCAATCAGTGATCACATGATCGGGACCTCGTACAGAGGTCCCATCCGACGATCGGTGTTTCACTGTGTCCGGAGGACACAGCGGGCACCGGATCGCGGTGCTGCGCGCTCCCAGGGAGCGCACACAAGCAGGGTGCGGGGAGGCCGTTTATATGCAATGGCCAGTCGGGAAGTGGTTAAAGGCGCGGGGCCGGCTTTATAAATCTCCCAGGCGCAGTGCATCGTGGGAAAACTTATTTCGTATTACGAAAAAAATTTGTAAACCGAGGCATTATTTTCAATGGATATTCATTTGTAAACCTAAAATTACGTTAACCAAGTTGTTTGTAAACCGAGGTATGCCTGTAACCAGTGGCGGACTGACAACTCATGGGGCCCCCGGGCAATAGGGGATCATGGGGCCCCTGTGTCCTTGCCCAAACTCAAAAAAGCCTATGAAAAAGGTACCAGGGGAATCTCATGGGCCCCCCTACTGACCCCGGGCCCTCGGGCAGTGCCGAGTTTCCAAATGGTCAGTCTGCCCCTGCCTGTAACTATCGTAATAATTAGGCCGCGTTTTTCCTGGTCTAGTCCATATGCTACATCAGGGTGCCATGAAATTACTGTTAGAGATGCGCACAACGAAAAAAATTTGTTTAATTTTAGATTCATTCGTTAAGTCAATCATTTTGTTTTGTCATATTCATTATGTTAGAATGATTCATTTTTGGAATTCATTTTAGATATTCGGATTCATTGTTCGTTATTTCAGAAGACTGATTCATTCGTTATGTCATGTTATTTCTTGCTTGCGAGTTCATGAGACTTGCTTGCGATTTCGATGCAACTTGCTTGGACTTTAATGTTTTTCTTGACTTTCCACTTTGCCAATCATAAAAATACAGAGTAGTGTGACAATATGATAGATCCTACAAAACCCTTTGTAGTTGCAAACGAATGAATATAAATTAATTTGAGGTCTTTGTTATAATTTATTTTGGATTAGTTAAAAAAAATGCATTACGACTAAGATTTGGATACATCCAAATTTTTGATTCGTAAGGAAATGAATCGCACGTGTCTAATGACCATCACATTTTTCCCTTGCAGTGATGGGCCTGTATTTTTCTACAATTATAACCAAACTAATTTTGTGACCAGTCCATCATTTCTTCAATGGTCCTCAGAAGTGAAAGGACAGAACTTTGGCTGGATAATGAGTCGGAGATTTCAAAGTTCAAATCACTGCTGGTCAGTGATGAGGCTCCAGTCCTATAACTTAACTCATGAAGCAAACGCATGACCACCGGTATGATCTACACCAGATGAAAAAAAAAAAAAAGTGTTACCACAAACAGGAAAAACACATTACTGATGGACATAGGAGTATGGGGAACCATCAGGAATTCATCTGTGTTGTGTTTTCTACATTTAGAAATGCTACCTGTATGGAAAACCTAGACCAGAGTTCCTCAGCCATGGTTCCATGAAATCCTTGGGTTCCTCCAGAGGTTGCTAGGGATTCCTTGAGTAATTCCTGCCTCTCAGATAACTTCCCACCATTAATCTTTTTAGCTACAGTTGCAAGAAAAAGTATGTGAACCCCTTGGGATTACGTGGAGTTTTGCCTCGCAGGTGTGTGTTTTTTTAAGGGCAGGACAGCTGTCAGCAACACATCCAATATCATCACACTGATTGGAGTCAAGGTTGGCTCACTCCTGGCTCCAATTAGCTCTGGGAGAAGTCATTAAGCTAGGGCCTCACATACTTTTTCCTCCCTGCATTGTGAATGTTTACATGTTATGTGCAATTAAACCATGGCAACATCTAATGTTTGTGTAGTATTATGTTCAGCAGACTGTGTTCTTCTGTTGTTGTGACTTAGATGACGTTCAGAGCACATTTTATGCCCAATTCATGCAAAACTCCACATAATCCCAAAGGGTTCACATACTTTTTCTTGCAAGGAGCAATTCTTCCCACTGACCATCACACTAATAGCGTATATATAATAATTAGCAGGGGTTCCCTGAGACCAGAAAGTTATTTCAAGGGTTCCTCTGTGCCAAACATTTAGTTCAGAAAGGCTGAACTAGATGGCTGCTGCTATATTCTGACCTTCAGGAGTTATACGATTTCATAGTTTATCTGGTGGAAAAAGTTCATCCTATGAGAAAAAAAAAATACAAATCATAAACCTCCATATTACACCATCCTATATCCACAGTTGATCCAGAGGAAGGCAAAAAACCTCTGAAAGCATGAACCAATATGCTACCATGCAGGAGATCCCGCATGGCCAGGGATGAAACTAGGACAATTTAGACAGGAGCCAATTAACCTACCAGCATGTCTTTGGAGTGTGGGAGGAAACCAGAGTACCCGGAGGAAACCCACGCAAGCACAGGGAGAACATGCAAACTCCATGCAGGAGGCGCCATGTTTGGGAATCGAACTCATGACCCATTTACTGCACGGCGGATGTGCTAACGTTACCAGCGTTATCAAAACGTCCCGTGTGCATGAGGGCTTAAGAGTTAACAATAAAAGCTGGAAGCTGATTGGTTTCTATGCAGAGCTGCACCAGATTTATTTACGACACGCTTTACATATATATTGTACATTCACATCAGTCCCTAACCCTCAAGGGGCGTACAATCTAAGGTCCCTAACTCACATTCATACATACACATACTAGGGACAATTTAGACAGGAGCCAATTCACCTACCAGCATGTCTTTGGAGTGTGGGAGGAAACTGGAGTACCCAGAGGAAAGCCACGCAGGCACAGGAAGAACATGCAAACTCCAGGCAGGTGGTGCCATGGTTGGGATTAGAACCAACGACCCGAGTACTGCCAGGCGGACGTGCTAACCAATTAGTCACTGTGCTGCCCATAGATTATGCACCATGCAGTTTTTAGTAAATAACCCCCAATCTGTCTGCATCCAGTGCAGGTCATCTGTCCCTAAGCAAAAGTAAAAGAACTGCTTTGCTGGGGTTTTTTTTGCCTTCCTCTGGATCAACTGTGGGTATAGGATTATAACTTTTTTTTTTCTATGGTTGAACTGGATGGACTTTTTTCAGCCAGACTAACTATGTAACAGCACCAAATTGAGTCCAAACCACTGATTTCCTCGATTGTCCTTGGTTGTCCTTGCAGTGTATGTTACAGTTCCATTTGTACAATACGTTACTCACTTCAACCATAATGCATTTTTCCTGCCATGGTTTGCCGTCTGGCCATGTTTCTCCAAGACAGATCCATATGGAATACTGTGGGGACTCTCTTCTCCTCCGTTCAACGAATTCAATTAATTCTAAAAGGAAATAAAAAGGAGCATTTAAACGGATGGAACAGTTGGTGACTTCTCAAGCTACTCTCGCTGAAGGTGCTCCATCTAGGGGCCAGTTACTGAGTATATTGAACATTATGTGGGCCAGATGTTTCCAAAAAATCCTTTACCCTAGGTTCACACCTAGGCGTTTCTGCCGCGTTTTGCAGAAATGCAGTACAGTCCATTTAACATGATTTCCTATGGGACATGTTCACACCTGTGCATTTTCACCCGGTGCGTTTTTTTGGAAAGGGTCAGGGACTTATTTGAATGCAAAAAGTTGTGTGTTTGGTTCTATAGACTTCAATGGAAACACTACAGAAAAGCATGTTTTTGCTGCATTTTGTGTTTTAAATCTGCCTAACCACAAGAAAAATGAGAAAAAGAAAAAAAAAACATGTCAAAAATGCAACGCAAAACGCACTGCAGAAATGGCTCAAACACAACCTGCATAGGTGTGAACCTAGCCTATGTCTGGGACAAGGGGGGTGGGCAGGAGGGGCGCCTGCCCTGGGAGCAGTGGTATCATGTGACGCTGGGTGGAGAAATCCTACCTAGAAGGTGGAGGGAGTAGTGTGACAGCAGTTGAAGAATAACAAACATTTGTGCTGGGGATGAGTGTCTTTGTGATAGGAGGGAGGATTGGGGGATTTGTACCAAGAGGAATAAATTCAGGGGTGGCATACAATTCATTTACACTGTTATACAAGCTGTACACTGACTACGTCACATTGTAGCAAAGTGTCATTTCTTCAATGTTGTCACATGAAAAGAGAATCAAATATTTACAAAAATGTGAGGGGGGGACTCGCTTCTGGGAGATGCTGTACATATATACAATTGCTGCACAAGCCATGTCGTAAGTTTTTGAAAAAAAAGTTTGTATATAAATATTAGACAATACATACAACTGTTTAAATATTTAAATTGTAAATGTCAAAATATTCTATAAAAATAATAACTCATTTATACCACTCTTAAACCACTATATTTACTCTCCCCGGACCCTGCATTCACTATATCTGGATCTCCCCAGACCTGCATTCACTATATCTGATCTCCCCGGACCCTGCATTCACTATATCTGGTCTCCCCGGACCCTGCATTCACTATATCTGGTCTCCCCAGACCCCTGCATTCACTATATCTGGTCTCCCCGGATTCACTATATCTGGTCTCCCCGGACCCTGCATTCACTATATCTCCGGTCTCCCCCGGACCCTGCATTCACTATATCCGCTCTCTCTGGACCCTGCATTCACTATATCCGGTCTCCCCGGACCCTGCATTCACTATATCTGGTGTCCCCGGACCCGCCATTCACTATTTCCGCTCTCTCCCCGCACCCTGCATTCACTATATCCCTTCTTCCCGGACCCTGCATTCACTATATCCGGTCTTCCCGGACCCTGCATTCACTAAATCCGGTCTCCCCCGGACCCTGCATTTACTATATCCGTTCTCCCAGGACCCTGCATTCACTATATCTGGTCTCCCCGGACCCTGCATTCACTATATCCGGTCTCCCGGACCCTGCATTTACTATATCCGGTCTCCCCGGACCTTGCATTCACTATATCCGGTCTCTCCCCGGACCCTGCATTCACTATTTCCGGTCTCCCCGGACCCTGCATTTACTATATCCGATCTCCCCGGACCCTGCATTCACTATATCAGGTCTCCCAGGACCCTGCATTCACTATATCCGGTCTCCCCAAACACCGCATTCACTATATCTGGTCTCCCCAGGACCCTGCATTCATTATATCTGCTCTCCCCTGGACCCTGCATTCACTATATCTGTTCTCCCCAGACCCTGCATTCACTATATCCAGTCTCCCCAAACACCGCATTCACTATATCTGGTCTCCCCCGGACCCTGCATTCCTTATATCCGCTCTCCCTGGACCCTGCATTCCTTATATCCTCTCTCCCTGGACCCTGCATTCACTATATTGGGTCTCCCCGGACCCTGCATTCACTATATATCTGGTCTCCCAGGACCCTGCATTCATTTATATACGCTCTCCCTGGACCCTGCATTCACTATATCGGGTCTCCCCGGATCCTGCATTCACTATATCGGGTCTCCCCGGACCCCGCATTCATTATATCAGGTCTCCCCAGACCCTGCATTCACTATATCCCTCTCCCCGGACCCTGCATTCACTATATCCGCTCTCCCCGGACCCTGCATTCACTATATTCAGTCTCCCCGGACCCTGCATTCACTAGATTCGGTCTCCCCGAACCCCGCATTCGCTATATCTGGTCTCCCCCAGACCCTGGCATTTCTGGCAGGGTGGAAGACCTGATTTTTCTTTGTTTCCACTCCCTAACACTTACAGAACTCCTCTCCACTCAACCTGTGACTGGACATTGAAAGGAGAAGCAGCACACTGATGAGCTCATCTTTCCATCACTGTGATCTCTACTGCTATCAGCATTTTAATGTGTGTAGCCAGCTTTTATACATACCCGTAACAAACTGCTGAAGAGTATACAAGACACTGTAGTCATTTTTGAGTATTGGACTGGGCACAGCCGAGGTAGGTGTATCTGTTACGGTCCAGAAACTACGACATTTGCCCAATCTAATGGCACAGATTTCCCCATCCCGAACTTCCACACAAGTTCCTTTATCCAGGTTGGTCAGAATGTGGTTCACTGCTTGAATCAATATCCGATCAGCCACTTTTTTTTGAGCCTGGGGCAGAATCACATCCTCCAAATAGCTTTCCGTAGGTGAATGTTGCCTGGAAGTCAGACAGAATCCAAATCGGTTGGTTACCATGGTGCTTTCAACTTTGGTTCCTCGGTAATAAATGTTGACTTCAAAATCAGTTTCTGTAGCGAATAGAGGGAGAGAAAACGTTATGTCCAAACTGAGACTTGACCATCAGCAAATACAATATCACGTGGTGACAGCACATCAGCAAATACAATATCACGTGGTGACCATCAGCAAATGCAATATCACGTGGTGACCATCAGCAAATGCAATATCACGTGGTGACCATCAGCAAATCCAATATCACGTGGTGACCATCAGCAAATCCAATATCACGTGGTGACCATCAGCAAATGCAATATCACGTGGTGACCATCAGCAAATGCAATACCACGTGGTGACCATCAGCAAATACAATATCACGTGGTGACCATCAGCAAATACAATATCACGTGGTGACCATCAGCAAACACAATATCACGTGGTGACCATCAGCAAACACAAATATCACGTGGTGACCATCAGCAAACACAATATCACGTGGTGACCATCAGCAAACACAATATCACGTGGTGACCATCAGCAAATACAATATCACGTGGTGACCATCAGCAAATACAATATCACGTGGTGACCATCAGCAAATACAATATCACGTGGTGACCATCAGCAAATACAATATTACGTGGTGACTATCATCAAACGTAAAATATCATGTGGTGACCATCAGCAAATACAATATCACGTGGTGACTATCATCAAACGTTATATCACATGGTGACAATCAGCATCACAAATACAATATCACGTGGTGACCATCAGCAAATCCAATATCACGTGGTGACCATCAGCAAATACAATATCACGTGGTGACCATCAGCAAAATACAATATCACGTGGTGCTATCAGCAAATGCAATATCACGTGGTGACCATCAGCAAATGCAATATCACGTGGTGACCATCAGCAAATACAATATCACGTGGTGACCATCAGCAATTACAATATCACGTGGTGACCATAAGCAAATACAATATCACGGGTGACTGTATCATGTAATGTTTGCCACCAACCAAGTAGATCTTTTGATTGTGATGTAGAAAAGCTTCGTACGATGGTTTGCTTTCTCTAACCTTTTGATGTTCTCCAATACCTTCAAAAACTGCCATTGAATATTTTCTTTGGGATTGTCTTGTCACTGGTGGCATTGCTGTGAAAACGGTAATTATGGTTGTCTAAAATTTCGGGTTATGTTTTGGATTAAGGAGGAACTTCACCGTATCGGAGCTCCACAAACCAAAAGCACTACTTCATTTGTAATATTCAAAGCAAACTACCCCATCCATCCATGTCTCCAACTTGAAAAACACCCCCCCAGCATCTCTGGCCGTGGCCATCTTGAGTAAGGGCAGATGGTTTATGTTGCATTTATTTCCTGAGATTTCATCTGCCCTTGGCTCAGGCATGCAGGCAGGAGGGTGTGCTTAGGTAAGAAAGCCCCGCCTGAAGAACTCCTGGGATGTAAGGCATCATTTGCCTAGGCACAAAAGCCAGGAAGTAACTAAAGGAATGTAAAAAAAAACAGTTATTTAAGTAAATATAATACGCCTTCCTATCTGTTTACTAATGCTGGCAGCATAAGGATTCAACATCGTCAATGCCAATTGAGAGAGTGAAGTTCTACTTTAACTAAGCGTGAACTCGAAGAAATTATTTGAATTGCATACTTACACTGGTCCAGCTGGAACTATGTAGGTATACATTACTGATACATGATGTACCACTGAGGAAGCTGACAATCACTGTAGTAGTTGGCACTACTACAGTGGAAGACATGATCTTCTGGGTCCTGCTGGGGTTCTGTGTAAGCGGCTTCCCCTCTGCTCACTTGACAACGGGGGGTTGCTCGTTTGGAACTGGTGCCATTCATGGAACTCCTTTGTATTTTTTTAATGAATACAAGCCATTTTCTGATTGGGCGAGGTGGAGATTGTGACATTATTGGCCCTCATTTCCATCTCATCTAATTTGAGAACTTCTTGTATTTATTAAAAAATATAAAATATTATATTTATAATATTATTATTATATAAAATATATATATATTTTATGAATGGTGCCAGTGCCAAACAAGCAACCCTGATCTGATGTGTGCAGAGGAGAAGCCATTCAGCACAGGACCTGGAAAATTGTGGCTATCATTGTATCAGCGCAGACTTCTACCGTGATTTTCAGCTTTCCCCAGCTGTCCATCAGGATTTTGAGATATGCATACCTAAAGTGGTGGTTAAGGCAGAAGGTTTTTTTTTTACCTTACTACAGCTGCCCTCGCAGCACCCCCTAAATACTCACCTGAGCTCAATCTCGATCCAATGATGTGCACAAGAGCCGAGGCTTTCCTGGGTCTCTCGCTCCTCATTGGCTCAGAATACAGCAGTGGAAGCCATTGGCTCCTGCTGCTGTCAATCACAGCCCAGTGACAAAGGAGGGGGAGGGGCTAAGCCCCTTTCTGTGTGTCTAATGGACACACAGAGCAGGACTTGGTAGCCAAGACCACACAAGTGCCCCCAGAGCAAGCAGCTTGCTATCGCCTGCCGCCATTACTAGTAAAAAAAAAAAAAAAAAAATCCCATTATCTATACCGCCATTTGTAAACGCTATAACTTTCACATAAACCAATTCATTTACATGTATTGGGATTTTCTTTTTTTTAAAAAAGACATGATGTCACAGAATACATTTTGGCCTAAAAATTTATGACGAATTTTTTTTTTTTTTTAACTGGACATGTTTAAAAAAAGTCAAAATATATTTATTTTCTCAAAATTGTTGGTCTTTTTTTTTTAGCGCCAAAAAAAAAAACAAAAAAAACACACAGGCGATCAAATAGCACTGAAAGAAAGCTCTATGCGTGGGAAAAAAAGGACGCAAATTTCATTTCGGTGCAGTGTTGCATGACTGCCCAATTGCCAGTTAAAGTAATGCAGCGCCGTACAGCAAAAAATGGCCTGGTGAGGAGGGGTGGGGGGGTGTTGGGGGGGGGGGGGGGGGGGGGAATCCTCCGAGGGCAGATAGTTAATCTATTGATTCAATTACTTGCCGACTGTCCTATAGCAGTTATACTGCTACAGGGTGGCCGCTCTGTGCAGAATTACACATATATACTGTATTTGTGATTCTGTACCTCCAGGTAGGGGGTAGGCTTGCTGCCAGCGCACCACTTCTGCAGTGTTGCATGGCCGCGCAATTGTCAGTTAAAGTAACGCAGCGCCATAACGCAAAAATGGCCTGGTGAGGGGGGGGGGGGGGAATCCTCCGGAGGGCAGATAGTTAATCTATTGATTCAACTACTTGCTGACTGTCCTATAGCAGTTATACTGCTACAGGGTGGCCGCTCTGTGCAGAGTTGCACATATATACTAATTTGTGATTCTGTACCTCCAGGTAGGGGGTCCATCTCGCTGCCAGCGCACCACTTCTGCAGTGTTGCATGGCCGCGCAATTGTCAGTTAAGGTAACGCAGCGCCCATAACGCAAAAATGGCCTGGTGAGGGGGGGGGGGGGAATCCTGCGGAGGGCAGATAGTTAATCTATTGATTCAACTACTTGCTGACTGTCCTATAGCAGTTATACTGCTACAGGGTGGCCGCTCTGTGTAGAATTGCACATATATACTGTATTTGTGATTCTGTACCTCCAGGTAGGGAGG